TGTGGCTACAATGTAGCTTGCCATCACCAGTATGTAAGTGTGTGAAGGGTGATGACTGAATGTGTAAAGCGCTTTGGGGTCCTTAGGGACTAGTAAAGGGCTATACAAATACAGGCCATTTACCATTTTACTTAATCTAATGTAGTTGACACCAGATGAGGTTGTAGAGATTTAGTGGTTTTCCTACTGTAACAACCTTTGTGTCAGTCATTAAAGAGACCAAATTATGACCTTTGTTCACCTAAGGGTGCATTCGTCATAGATTTAATAAAGATTATAAGATAATTTTAACTGTCAGTTGAGTTACAGGTGACAATGTTGATGTGCGCTCTATTGTTGTCAATCTTAAAATCACGTCTCGGCCATGTGCTGCTGTGATTATGGATTTGTATGGATCTTTCTGTATTTACCAGCTGGGCACATACCAAAAGAGCCCGATAATGAAACAATCCACGTAATGAAAATCCTCTCAACAGGTACTCCAATGTCTCGTTGGAGAGCAAACACATAGGTATGTCTTATCTAATCAAAATAACATCTCTTTTGTTGGTATTGATGGAAGGAACCATATCAACTGTCTCTCTTCTCTGGGTCCTGCCTGTCGAGCATCGTCTCTCGTTCTCTTTCACACATGAATTTGTTGCTCCTCTGTGTCTTGGTTGGTGGGGTCAGGGGTGGGGTGTGTGTCTGCTGCAGGAAGCGTCTTGTGTGTGAGTGGGTGGGTCAATGTTTTCCTGTTTACAATATGGCCCTCTGTTACTTGTCACAGTGGGCCTTCAGTTTCTGCCTCTCAAATGCTGCGTTCAGTTCTCAAGGCATTTTAAAAGTGTGCGATTTATTAAAACTCTGACGTATTCACACATTTAAATGAGATCTAAGTCAGGATAATGTGAATAATGTGATGCACTGGATGACCTTTTCGTCTCCTTTTTTCACTTCATGTTTATCTTTTAACATTTTAAATCTAACAGAAATACAGATACGCAGGTACAGCTGATTAAAGGTATTATATGTATTCACTTTGTTTGTGATTATATTATGGTAATGTGGGTGCTCGTAGTCAGTGCCTGGAAACAATCCTGTTTTAATCAAGTAGTTTTTTTCACCCTTTTCTGCCTATATTTTGAGTATTCAGTCATATTTTCCATAGGGTGTAAGTGATTAACAGAAAATCAGAAGTTAACAGAAACAATGAAATGAATTTAATTTATTTACTTTTATATTACTTTATTTTTTTTTGCAATATCAAAAACCTTAAGTAATCATATCCAGAATACAGAACGAGAGCACAGAGGAATGGAACCTAGTATTATATTTGTTGCCCTTTACTAATAATAATATTACTAATACTAATAAAAACAATAGTGACAGCTGTGACGCTGTCACTTAAAAAGCTATAATACATAAAAGATAACATTCGAAGAGCTAATTTCACTTCCTAAAACTCTCAGAGACTTGTGCCGCTGATCTTTGCACCTGTGTGTACATTCAGGCGCTAAATCTAAATGTGAAATTCCTAAAATAAGCCCGGTGCCTGTTACGTTAATGTTGACACTGGGTGGGCTTACCTCATCATTCTTGTATTATGCAGACACACAGACACAGACACACAATGACAGCACAAGTTAGGCTTGTCTAAATATACCTTGTGTCTGCACAGGTAACGTTATATGCCATTGTTCATGTATGGCTTCTCAGTTGTCTTTTGATGTTGCAGGGATGTGTTAGTCCTCGTATGTGAGCCTGTCGCTTTCCACTAACATTCAGGAAAGTGAATATGGGTGCTGAGTGAGACAGACACGAACAAAGCCTCTGAGCTCTCTCCATCTTTCTCTCCTGACCACAAATGTTTCCCTTCCAACTATAAATACGCCCCTGAAACCTCCCACGTCCTGAAACGTGAACCTCTGCTAATAGTGATTATCAAGGTCCAGAATAGCCCGAAGTTTCCAGTTACATTCAAAGTCGAAAAGCCAGAGCTAATACGGCAGAGCTTTATTTTATAAGCCTCGCTTTTATTTTGTAAAGATGCTATTTTATTTGATTAAACGCAGACAGCCTTTGATGTAAAAAGCTCAAATCCGGATGAAAGCTAAACATAATCGATAGGAGAGAGAATGTGGACTTAGAGGCCGACCGGATTGTGGTGAGAGACAGAGAGGAAAGAGGTGAGAAAACCAATAAAGTTGCATTACCGGCAACATGGACAGCGAGAGAGAAGGCCCACTGATTCTTGTGGAGTGCCATCTGGTTAGACTAAAGAAAAACAACACTGATCAATACAGATTTCTGAAATGATCATAACATCCAAACAAATTCATTGTTCTGCGCAACTTTTCGCTCAGCTTTTAAACAATAGTCATGCAGCATTACTGCACTGGTAGTAATAGTGTATAGTTAGTATAGTTGTGCAGTTGCTGATCTGTATCACAGATAAGACGGCTGACTTTATCACTAAAAAAAAAGAACAATTATCCTGGGATTCATCCCTTTAATCCATTCAGTAGTTTGGATGAAACAAACTGAAGCAGCGCAGTAATTTAGTCTAATTAGACCAAACTCTTCTGGGACTCTTCTGGGGACTGTCTGAGGATAAGTACCCTCTGAGTAGGTCCCCTGGGAGCTATTTGCCGTCGAATCCTTATTTATTTTTAATTTTTGCTTGCATTTGCCCCACGAATAGAAACTCTGAAGTAACACAAAAGCTGGCCAGCAGCTAGTTTTCCAACATCGCCTCTTGTTTTGATCCCTTTTTTTCATTTATCCGTGTTTTTAATCCTGTTTCAGCTTCTTCAGTGTCGCTCTTTATTGCTTCTCCTTGTAGCAAGTTCAAGTGTATTGCTGGTAAATATTTTAATATTTAATAGGGTCAAAAAAGCCTAAACTTTTCAGCTTGTTCATTTCATTTAGGTTTAATTCTGATTTTTTTCAACAGTAACATTAAGAGCTGCTGATGTTTAGACGCACATCTGGAGCAACCATTTTACATCTACAACACTCAAACTTCCTGTTACACTAGGAATGGTACTATGAGCTAAAAACACACAAACAAAACAGCTCTTAGTACTGTGATGGTCCTCAAATCCATAGTGTTCACACAGAAGAAAGGGGGTACTGCCTCCTGTAGGTGCTACATTTGTGAACAAGATCCTAATATTAAGCTTAGGCGCTGCTACCAATTATGAGTTAATAATCGGAGCATCTCCTACTAACTGTTATTATGCAACATGTTTATATTGGGCCACATTACGCATTGATTGATTATAAAACCACAACAACATTAACTGCCCCCTTCCTTCTGTCTTTTTTCATTAGTAACTGTATGACAGAAATGAGAAATACTTTCTGCTGCATGCTAGATATTATATAGTTTACCAGCCAGAGTCTTGTATAGAAATATGGCTGTCTTCCATAAGCAGACAGCTAACAGGAAATATGTAAGAAATGTGTGAGGTGAAGCAGACGGAGCAGGCAGGTGGGAGAGAAGAGGAGGAACAGCAACACTGTGTGGGTGTCAGGATTGGCAAGCTGTCCGTGCTATCTGGTTTTCATCCCCGTCTTCACAGAGATATCAGAGTGTGGTGATTGTCAGATATGATGGATGATGTTGGTTTGGATTTATTATAGAACGGCTTCTGAGGCACATGATGTGAACCGATCTAAATGTCAACACAGAAATTAAACTCCGGTTTTAGCACCTTTGGTCTCAATAGGGCATCGACAATAGCTTTTAGCAAGGAAGAGAGGGAAGTAGGCAGATGGTTCAAGCTTTATATGCCAGTTTTCATCAGTTTCCATTTTGCTTTTAGTCTTCCTGTTCCTTCCATTTCCATTATTCCTTTACTGTGTCACATAGATAATTGGAGGTCACAGGATATAAATGGACCTTCATCCTAAACAAGGTAATCTTAGAGCTGCGAGTTAACTTGTTTCTCTGTGTGTGCGTGTGTGTGTGTGTGTGTGTGTGTGTGTGTGTGTGTGTGTGTGTGTGTGTGTGTGTGTGTGTGTGTGTGTGTGTAAAAGATAGATAGAGCAAAAGTAAAAAAAAAACTGGGCCATGCAGCCTCTTGACACACAATCTCATTCACTGGCCACAGATTACTGTCACCTCTCGTTAGCCTCTGTGTGTGTGTGTGTGTGTGTGTGTGTGTGTGTGTGTGTGTGTGTGTGTGTGTGTGTGTGTGCGTGTGTGGTGTGTGTGTGTGTGTGGGGTCAGAGTGTGGCCCCATAAACGACTTCCCTTAACCTGCTGGTCTGGAAAATCCAACAGTTCATCTATATGTAAAGAAGCACTTAAACTAAAACTGACATAGCTACGTTAATCCTACCGTAAAAAAATAAGACAAGGTACGACCTCTCCCATGCTCCTAGGGTGTGGGGGTGAACACCCTAGAATGTTACAGACCTCCTAGGATGAGACATTCTTTCAATATGCCACCAACTATATACTTCTACACACAAATGATTACATGCAGCATTCTACCATATGCAAACTTATATCATTAAAAGATTATAGTGACTACTAAGTACAATTTTCCTGTTAACAAAGACCAAAAAGAAATAAAAACAACCAAACAAACAAACAAAGGGTTGTCAAAAATAACAAACTAGCAGCATCAGCGCAGAGAGACACAATCCTGCTGTTTCATCTGTGTTTGTGTGTGTGTGTGCGTGTGTGTGTGTGTGTGCGTGTGTGTGTGTGTGTGTGTGTGTGTGTGTAATGCATTCCAGTCTTAGTCACATGCAGGTCTGTGTATCTGTGGCAACAAAGGCTCTCATTGATTGAGAAGAAATAACTCATTCATTGTAATTCTCTCTCAATGTTTGTGAGTCTGTTTTTGTGTGTCCCGTATGGTACGTACACACTAGTCCTCACAGACGTCTGTCAGCATACCGCATACTGTCTAAACTAAAACAATGACAATATAAACTGATACTACATGAAACCATCATGTATGGTGCAGGGTAATCAAACTTGTTCTGTGTCTTTCCTCCCATAGTGTGTCGGGGAGGAGAACTGGGTCGATAGCCGGACAATTTACATTGGACATAAGGAGCCTCCTCCAGGAACTGAAGCTTTTATACAGCAAAGATTTCCTGACAACAGAATAGTCTCTTCAAAGGTCAGTGAAACACCCACCCACACAGATGCACACATATTCAAAGCAGGACTTGCTTCATCAGGATCTGCCTGCAATATCATGAGAGTTTAGAGGTGAAGAGGTGAAGCTTTAAAATCAATTATGATTTGAGCGCAGCATCAGTGTCTAAACAAAAGGACACAGCAGAACAGAGCTGTTAGTACTCCAGCACTATTCATGCTTTGTTTTTAAAGCGTGGGCGACCACTACTTGGTAATGGGACAAAGACCAGTGAATGAGCTGTTTTGGGAAAGAACACTCTGTGCTGTGTTTTAATTTCAGTGATCAGTTTAGACCCGCTCCAACTTTTTGAAAATGTCATATCTGTGGTTCGTAAAACCTCCCCCCCCCGCTGTTAAAGCAAACAGCATCAGGGACTGGTAGAACCAGCCGGTATTTATGCTGGTTCCAACTGCTAAGCTGGTCTTGGAGTGGACTTTCTGTTGATTAATTCTGTCCCTCCAGTCTAAATGTCAGCTTGTTATAAACTGAGGCTATGCTGCATGAACATTAATTTTAGTTTTACAAGCTGTAAATGAAAGAAGCCTAGATTTCTGACCTGGATGTAATATTTGCATTGAGTCGTAGTATGAAGAAAGATTTTGCTGATATGGTCCAACTGGCATAACTATCTATAACTAAGTCTCACTTACTACAGCACGTTAACCAGGCCTCTCTCAACTGTTCATCACAGGTCCTTTGAGTGTTTGAGGTTTGAGTTTGTACCAATAAACATTATTTTACATGTTGCCAAGAAAAGCTTCCTCCTGCTGCCTGATTTAAAAAAACAAACAATAAAAGGAAAAAAGGAAAAAACATTTAGTAAACTCTACATTTCTCTGTTTTATAGCATATGTGTTCATGTGCAAAATTATGATTTCCTACCTATTACACGCAAAAACTACTGCAATTATTACTTTTAGGCTGGACTACTCTAATTCGTTATTATCAGGATGTCCTAAAAACTCCCTGGAAAGTGTTCAGTTAATCCAAAATGCTGCAGCAAGTGTACTGACAGGGACTAGAAAGAGAGAGCATATTTCTCCTATACTGGCCTATCTTCACTGGCTTCCTGTTAAATCCAGACTTAAAATTAAAATCCTGCTCCTCAAATACAAGATCTCACATCTTGAATAATCTGACCCCATCTTATCTTAATGACCTTATAGTACCATATCACCCCATTAGAGCACTTTGCTCTCACACTGCAGGCTTACTTGTTGTTCCTAGAGTATTTAAAAGTAAACTGGGAGGGAGAGCCTTCAGTTTTCAGGCCCCTCTTCTATGGAACCAGCTTCCAATTTGGATTCGGGAGACAGACACTATCTCTACTTTTAAGATTAGGCTTAAAACATTCCTTTTTGTTAAAGCATATAGTTAGGGCTGGATCACGTGACCAATGTTCCCTCTAAGCTGAGCGCGTGAGCAATCGCGCACTGCTGACATGGTTTAACCACACAGAAAATCTCCGCTGCGCACAAAAAAAAAAAATCCAGCCTGAATTGGAATTAAAGTAAATACATGTATTTATTTTATTTTGCTGATTTTCTGTGTCAGCAGTGCGCGATTGCTCACGTGCTCAGCTTAGAGGGAACAGTGCACGTGACCCTGAATCCTCCCTTAGTTATGCTGCAATAGGCTGCTGGGGGATTCCCATGATGCATTGAGCATTTTTTCTTCAGTCACCTTTCTCTTTTTTTTTTTTTTTTTTTGCCTGTCCGGTTTGGTTCTTTTGCCATCAGAATTATTGTCTAAAGGCGAAGAAAGATGCCCAACGGATTTACTTTACCAAATTGACCATCCCAGCCTTGCCGTAATGGTCTATTTGATTCACCTTTTATTGTTTATTTTATTTATTTTTTATTTTCACTTGCTAGATACGGGACAGACTTGAATGAGGAAAAGAAAAGGGAGAAAGAAAGAGGGGGGAAAAACAGCGGAGAAGAGGGACTGGGATAAAGGGCAAAAAACCAAAAACCAACTAAATAAGCAGACAAAAAAATACATATATCAATCACCTGGATCACCTGTTGAGAAAGAAAAAAGAAAACAAGCAGAAGAAAACGAGAGCAATATAGTAAACAACATCACGATGATATATGGGAATATAACAGCAAATACTAAATATTAAACATTATTGTGCAGCACGTAATATCGACAGCGCACAGTGTGCTTTGCCAAAAAGGGTGTAGTTTGTGTGTGTGAGCACCCGTGTGTACACCTGTTCCTTCATGTAATGATCTGCTAGAGGGTGTGGGGGGGCCACAGCCCCGTCCACCAGGGCATGAAGCAGGTATGGAGGAGATCAAGACTCCAGACTTACAGTGGCCCCCAGAACACAAGAGACCAAGGAAGACCAACAGAGGGGCAGCTGCGCCACTGTCCCGGAAAGAGCTTCAGTCACCTTTCTCACTCACTATGTGTTAATAGACCTCTCTGCATTGAGTCACTGGTTATTATTAATCTCTGGCTCTCTTTCACGCCATGTCTTTTGTCCTGTCTTCCTCCACTTACCCCAACTGGTCACAGCAGATGACTGGCCCTCTCTGAGAAAGTTCTGCTGGAGGTTTCTTCCTTTTAAAAGGGAGTTTTTCCTTCCCACTGTCGCCAGCTGAACTCAGCTGAACTCTTCTACTGGCTCACCACAAGGTTGTTGTCTCTCTCCTCTACTGTATATTTTGTACACTAATGACTGTCGCAGTACACAGGCCAACAGGCATTTCATTAAATATGCAGATGACACAGTCATTGGAAGCCTCCTTCATGGTGAAGAGGATTCCCATGGGTCTGTTGTGGATGAGTTTGTTTCATGGTGTGATCAGTCCTTCTTAATGATTAACACCTTGAAAACCAAGGACATGGTTATTGACTTCAGGAAGACATCCCCCCCATCCTGCGCTAACAGTGGTAAATGGTGCAGCCATTGAACTGGTGGACAGTTATAAGTATTTGGGGGTTGTTCTTGTCCTAGTCTCTGTCCTTTGAGTAACATCTTGCTGCTACAGTGAAAAAGGTTCAACAAAGACTGTACTTTTTAAGGAGGTTGAGAGGTTTTAATGTTTCATCTGAAATGATGACTCTTTTTTATAAAAGTTTTATTGAATCTGTTTTAACCTTCTGTATCATTGCTTGGTACGGTAATATGTCCCTGAATAATAAGACCAGACTTAACAACCTGGTTAAAGTGGCGGGCAAGATTTCAGGGAGGTCTCAGGTCCAGCTTGTGGACTTTTATAACAGGCAGGTGCTGAGGAAGGAAACTTCTGTCCTGTTGTGTTCAGATCATCCTCTCTTTAATGATTTTCAACTGCTTCCATCAGGTCGTTGTTATAAAGTGCCTGCAGTGAAGACAAAGAGACATAGATTGTCTTTTGTACCTAGTGCTATTATCATAGTTAATAACACTAAACCATAAGTGTTGTTGCCATTGCACATTGCACTTTTTTGATGAAAAATCTAGGTTGTTTTCTCAGGCTTGTATTATATTATATTATTTTGGTGAGTGTATGTGATGTGTTGGTTGTCTGTTTGTTTGTTTGTTTGGACGGACATACTGCAAATCAATTTCCCGTTAGGGACAATAAAGTTACCATTGACCATTGACCAAAGCACTTGCTCATAGGGGGTTATATGATTGCTTGGGTTTTTTTCTGTTGTATTATTGTACGGTCTTTACCTTTCAATATAAAGTGCTTTAAGGTGACTGTTGTTGTGATTTGGCGCTGTATAAATAAAATTGAATTGAATTGAATCTTGTCACTGTGCTGTCTTTGTTATTAGCAGCAGTACTTTTTTTTAATGCCAAAACCCAGTTAGTAATGGCACATTATGTTAGGGAATCTGGTCTTAAGCCTCTTTGCTTTTGTTTCCATTATCATGGATAGATGTTGATAACACTGTGGGATCTTTTTAAACTCTATATCTTTTTAATTAAACATAAGAAAATTTCTTGTTTCCAGTACACGTTTTGGAACTTCATCCCAAAGAATATGTTTGAGCAGTTCAGGAGAGTCGCCAACTTCTACTTTCTCATCATATTTCTGGTTCAGGTAAAACATTTTCTTGCTCACACTGACTGAACTTCACTACAAGGCTTCTGCAAAGCATGTTGTAAAGATAATTCATATTTTTCCTTAAGGGAGAGTTTTCCTTGTGTGCTGTTTATCTAGAGACGTCTGCTTTCTCTTGAATTTAATGGCACTTGCATCAGAAGCATACATTAGAAAAACTCAGCAGAAACATCTCTTTCTATGAATCATTATAGTCAATCAAAGAAATGTTTCACGTAGAAACATATTTTTCTTTATGCTTCATTATTGACATGTGCAGTTCAATATACAGAGAATGGTTTCTACCTTAAATTGCTCAAAGCTGGGAGACTCACACTAAAACTGTCGTGATAGACCAGAGGAAAAACGTGTATATGGGATTTCAGAGTGAGATGTCACTTTTACTATACTTATTCACCACTGTGAATAAGGGAACAGCTTAAAGTAGCTCCACTAATCATATTTATGTTATGTTTATATTTATGTTTAGTGCCATAAAGCTCAGACATGTTTTATTGCCTATTTACTGCTGTCTGTCATTTCTATATATTCTTCTTCCCCCGAAACCTTTTTTGCCGTTCATTTCTCTCTCTCGCTGTATGTTCATGTGTGCGGTCACTTCAGTTGATTATTGACACTCCCACCAGTCCGGTCACCAGTGGACTGCCACTGTTCTTTGTCATCACAGTCACCGCCATTAAACAGGTGAGTTCACCTAATGTGACTGTTGACAGTAAACACTACACCAGCAGCCACACCTGCAGGCACACATGTTCACTTTTACATCCTCCTCTCTGTCTTCTCCTCTCTCTCTTAGGGTTATGAGGACTGGTTGAGACACAAAGCAGACAACGCTGTCAACCAGTGTTCTGTCCACGTGGTGCATCATGGCAAAGTGGTCCGCAAACAAAGCCGCAAACTCAGGGTGTGTGTGTGTGAAACCAGATAACTCACTCACCCCATCTAACAGAGCTTTGGTGCATTTGTTTTAGTGGCTCACACTGAGGAATTTTCCTGCTACTAAGCTCTCTGTACGTGTGTGTGTGTGTGTGTGTGTGTGTGTGTGTGTTTGCCTGCATTTAAAAGCAATTTAGCTTTAAAAGAACTTAGATTGATGTTTGTTATGTAACGACATAAGACTGAAATGATATGAGCTTACTGCTGGTAAGTCATTAGGTGTGTTGCATTTGACTGCATTTTCCGTTCAGTGACTGTATTTCTCTACTAAAGTGCTGCTAGGACTCCTCACTGATATGCTCACTTAGGTGGTCAGAGCCAGGACGGTAGTGGCAAATTAGACCCCGGTGAATTAATTTAAATATGCAAAAAGCTCCAGCTGTTGGCTTCAAGGTATCAAGGCCCTGCATGTATTAGAAGTAAACATTTGTTGTCTCGGTCTGTGTGGCAGGTTGGAGATGTGGTCTTGGTGAAAGAAGATGAGACTTTTCCCTGTGATCTCATTCTCCTCTCCTCGTCTCGAGATGACGGGACCTGCTTTGTTACTACAGCCAGCCTGGATGGAGAGAGCAGTCACAAGGTGTGCTGGATAAACTTAATCCACTTAAATATGTACTAGATGCATTATGATTTGCTGTGATTTATGTTTTTCTCTGTCCATTTATCCATTCATTCATCTAACTCTTAATCCATTCCCTTATTGCTTTTCTTATTTCCCTTCATCTCCCTTCCGCCCTCTGTCACCATGTGTCTTTAATACTTCTCCTCCTGTGTTGCCTTATTACTTACACTCCCATTATCTTTCTCTCTTTTTTCATTTACCCAACCATTTCTTCTGTTTTCCTTCCCTCTTCCAACCTAGACATATTATGCAGTTCAGGAAACCAAAGCTTACAACACAGAGAAAGAGGTGGACACGATCCATGCCACAATAGAATGTGAACAACCGCAGCCAGACCTGTACAAGTCAGTAACACACACACACACACACACACACACACACACACACACACACACACACACACACACACACACACACACACACACACACACACTTGAACAAAGTGTTCTTGCAAAATAAATGTGCCTTATCTCAATTCTTTTCCTACCCACACAGATTCGTGGGGCGTATCAACATCTACATGACCAATGAGCCAGTGGCAAGGTAAAATAACACAAAATATTACACTTTTATATTAAAGATCATTAAAGAAATCAGCATGTGTCTATTGTATTCACCCATCATTCAAAAATAAAATTCAAAACCATCCAGACATGTATTAAATTTCTTTGATGACAAAGTGTGATGCTGCTCAATCTTTCAAAGAAGATTTCGCATTTCTGCAGAATGACGACTTAGTGCGAAGCTTACTTGTTTATCTTAATTTGATTTAATTGAGCACAGCATTAGTTCACCTCAGCTGCAATGCCAGCAGATCAGCTGATAACAATCCAAGCCCCCATCAGCTGATGGCTCACCTGATACACCTCTGCATCCATTTGACAAATCTCTTATGGAGTACACTACTATTTTTCCTTTCCCTCAGTTGCTGCACTGCTGCAGGATGCTTTGAAACCCACTTTTACTCTGCAGCTGACTTTTTAAGTGCCATATCTGTTGTTCTTGAATTATGCTTTTCCTGTCTCTAGCTTTCTGTATATGTGCATGGAATGGTGGGGAATTCCCAGAACAGAGCCATGCTGCCAGATATAAAGTTCTTCAGATGGAACCTTATTTGCCTCTTACTAGATTCAAGATTCAAGATTCAAGATTCTTTATTTGTCACATGCATAGTTATACAAGTATAACATGCAGTGAAATATAATATAAAATAATAATAATAATAATAATAATAATAATAATAATACAATAGTAATATTAGATCTTTTTGTTTGTGAAAGAAATACATGATTGTTTATCATCTGGACTATCTGCAGGCCGTTAGGATCAGAGAACCTGTTGCTCCGAGGAGCCACACTCAAGAACACTGAATATATCTATGGTAATTCTACACAATTAATGATAAATGTTAGAGATTACCTCAACTTTATACTTTTTAATATTCTTTTTTTTTAATGTACAGTGCAGCATTTTGAATGAGACTTTTCCTTTTCCCCCCTGTAGCTGTGGTCATCTACACTGGCATGGAAACCAAGATGGCTCTCAATTACCAGTCCAAGTCTCAGAAACGATCTGCAGTGGAAAAGTAAGCTCTTTTCGTTTCCTCCTCTTTCATTTTTATATTATATTATGAATTGTTTCTGAAAGGAGCCTATTAGCAACGATCAGTGCTCTCATGCAAGTTTCACAGTCTTTGGCTGTTTCTGTGCTAACCAGCTTAGATAATAACTGAAATTTTTCTTACCCGTCCTTAGAGCCATCTGTTCACTTCTCATGTCTTGGTTTATTCATTGAGACTTAAGCGTCTGTGTGTGTCTCTTTGGCTCGCTGCGCTGACTGGATCAATTTTCTTTCCATCTGGCGTAGACAGTGTCTTTGTATCCAGATGTATAAATGAGTGACTGTAGGTGGATTACATTCACACTTGCTCACTATGTGTGTCTCATTAACTCGTCGGCTCATTGACTCAGCTCAGAGTAAATGTCTTGTCTCAGCTGTTCCCCTTTTCAAGTTTGAAGATTCTGACGAGTATACTGAGTTGTTTTCCAAGTTACCTTTTACATGGTGGACTGGGTTGCAAGTTTTTTGGGGTTCTAGTGCTTTTATTTTTTTAGTTCCTGTTTGTTAAAATCGCCAAATAGCTGACCGGCAGTCAGAAATCTCTTATGGATTGTTTCTAACTCCCTTTCAAACTACTTTCATTTGCACCTGCACACACTTGTGCTTTTTACACTCTCAACCACAGTGGGAAATGGTACCAAAATAGTAGAAATAGTACCAGGGCCTCAAGCTCCGCCCCTTATTTTTTTGTGTTTGCACTCATGAGAACATGTGTTATCACCAAGAGAAAAGAGGGATGAAACACAAGAAACACAATCATAGCAGTTCAACATGTGATACAAGACACTTAAGCACATGCTACACAAAGTCTAAAGCTTAGAACCTGTATATGTGAATTATATAAACATGTGATCTGCCACAAACTGCCATGCTCCATCTCTCCACTTAGTCATATTAAATTCTACTCTGGAGGTTGTGCGTAATCTTTCAGGGAAAGAATAAAGCACACAAGTCATAAAGACAGATCAATGCAGGAAAAATGTAATGAAGTCAATGGAATGTTTTAAGGGAGGCACAGACTCCTCCATCCTTGGCAGATAGTTTCCATAATCCTTTTTTTTCAAATGGGGTTTTCAATCCAAATTTTTGTCCACATTGTTCAAAGCAGATTAATGAAAAACTCATCTATCTTTCACTATCATGAAGAAATATGTCACAGATCTTTAACTTCTCCCTCTGCAGGTCAATGAATGCCTACTTGGTGGTCTACCTGTGCATTCTCATCAGCAAAGCTCTCATCAACACGGCACTGAAATACGTGTGGCAGTCCGACCCCAACAAAGACGAGCCCTTTTACAACCAGAAGACGGAAGTTGAGAGACAGAGACACGTTGTGAGTCTCGAATCCTGGAAAATAAAAATATTTCGATCCCCTCTTTATTGTCTCACACGTTCTTCGTTCTCCTCCTCCTCAGCTAATCAGGGCGTTCACAGACTTTTTGGCCTTCATGGTTCTTTTCAACTACATCATTCCCGTGTCCATGTATGTCACTGTGGAGATGCAGAAGTTCCTGGGCTCCTACTTCATCATGTGGGACGATGAAATGTTTGATGAGGAGCTGGGGGAGAGAGCTGTGGTCAACACATCAGACTTGAATGAGGAACTGGGGCAGGTAGCAAAGTGTACTTCACTCCGGGCAGAATAATGAGCAAAGAAACATTACTGTATGGAAAAGTGAGTTAGAGATAAGAATAAAAAAACACTTACCCTGCTTTCTTTCCAGGTGGAGTATGTGTTTACAGACAAGACAGGAACGCTAACAGAGAACAACATGGAGTTTATAGAGTGCTGTGTGGATGGACACGTTTATGTACCTCACGCTATCTGTAATGGACAGGTAAAACGTTCAGTCCCACTAGATTGATCTGTTAAGATATTCAGCTTCAGCCATGAACTTTTCTTACTACAAGTCTCATTCATACACAGTCCTACAAGCACTTTCTTTTCTGTGCTTAAGCACTTTGAGCCTGACGTTCACATAATCACACTGCAGTGGATGCACCGGGGGAAACTCAGTTCAGGGTTCAGGTATTTTGTCCAAGGATACTTTGGCATGCAGACTAGAGGATCAACGGATTGAACCACCAGCCTTCCAATTAGTAGATGTTGTGGGTGTTTCAGTGTATGCACGAAAGAACCACAGTTTGTATGGATGCAGCTTGCTAATAAGACTTGCTGGATAATGTTGTGCATTTCTAAAGATACAAATAAAGGCACTCTAAAGGAGATTCCAAGGGTGGTTCAAAACCATTTTAATGATGCCACACTACTTCCATCCTTTATATACAGTCTCTTTGGACAAGGTAAAGATGGATCAATGTTTGTGATTGATTCATTTATAGCCATTCATTTATTTACAAAGAGTTCATATTTTTATGTAACGGAGGTGTAAAAATCAAATGACAGAAAGGCAACAGTTTAGGCCTATTTTAGGGTTTTTTTGTTTGTGTGTTTTATCTAATAAAAATCTGTGAGAAGAATGTAACATTCATGCGTTTAGTCATTTCTGTGTTTTCAATGGATTATTACAGATTTCCTGACAATAAAACTCCTGGGCATTGTGCGTTTAGTGTAATCATCTGTGTTCAGTGCTTAATGGTCATATGAGGAAATCAAATTGTGCCTGCAAGTCTTGCTGCTGTTTATTGAGCCATATGTCTATTTATGTTTGCCAAGTAACTGATCATGAGCATTAATTGACAAGTCAGCAGCTCATACAACCTTAAAAGTGCTGAACAGACGGTCTGTTGTAATTTTAGGAGGGTTGTTGTGTTGTAATATTATTACAATTTACTCCTTTTAACATAGGACTTCAAACATCAGAGTAAAGGGGTTCCTGTCACATAAACATGGACATCGTGCTGTATATGTCAAGTCTTAGAATCAAGCTTTAATACTAAAATGCCATATGTACATATCATCGTAGGCTGTGTTTGATAACCAGTGACCCCCAGAGTGATCTGTGGTCTGTATGTCTGTAGGTGATGCCTGGAGCTGCCGGTATGGACATGATCGACTCATCCCCAGGTCCTGCAGCCAGGGTAAGTGCAGACTCGCTTTGAATGTGCGTTTGTGGTTCGTGCGAATGAGGGTAATCTAGTGTCGGCCGTTCACTGCAGGAGCACGAGGAGCTGTTTTTCCGGGCGTTGTGTTTGTGCCACACGGTGCAGGTGAAAGAGGAGGATACTGTAGATGGGATCAAACATGGCATTCACCAGGGCAAGTCCACTTCCTTCTACATCTCCTCTTCTCCTGACGAGGTTGCACTGGTGGAGGGCATGAAGAGGTGCAGCACACACACACTCACGTTGCACACAATGGCAGCAGTAATCGCTGCTGCATTCAGAAGAATTTAGTTTTCCCATTTTTCTATTTCTGTGTTTTGGACATTCATTTTATTCACTCCAATAATGGTTGTTCTGTGCTGCAGGCTCGGTTTCACCTATCTGAGGCTCAAGGACGGTCAGATGGAAATCTTAAATAGGGAGGATGAAGTTGAAAAGTGAGTGTGCCGCTTTAAGCAACGTTATTGTTCTCTGTGAACCTTGAAAATGAGATGACTATTGTTATTTTTATCTGTTTTTAACTTCTTTAATTGATAGTTGGCTATTATTTTTTCAGTAGCATTTGTGTGATTTTTCTTCCTGTTTTTATCAGGTTTGAACTGCTAGAAGTTTTGACATTTGACTCAGTCCGACGGAGGATGAGCGTTATCGTCAAGGCCAGCACTGGTAATGCGCACAAAACTATATATGTATATTCTTTATATTGATTTCTATGTGTCTGTGTTTATGTTTTTCTTTAATCCGATCCTCTTTTTTTTCTGTGTATGCGTTTGAGCAGGTGAGGTTTATCTCTTCTGTAAAGGTGCAGACTCCTCTATCTTCCCAAGGGTCATCTCAGGCAAAGTGGATCAGGTCCGAGCACGAGTGGAGCAAAATGCAGTGGTGAGAGAGCACAAACACACACACACACATAAACGTGCAGGCTCACTCTCATCTTTCTCATATCGTTATAGGCTCATACAATATAACAGGAAGTTGTTTTTTCCTGAAAGATCGTGGCTCAAGAGTTTGGAGTTCGCCTTATAGTCGGAAGGTTGCCGGTTCGAGCCCCGGCTTGGACAGTCTCGGTCGTTGTGTCCTTGGGCAAGACACGTCACCTGTTGCCTACTAGTGGTGGTCAGAGGGCCCGGTGGCGCCAGTGTCCGGCAGCCTTGCCTCTGTCAGTGTGCCCCAGGGTGGCTGTGGATACAATGTAGCTTGCCAGCACCAGTGTGTGGATGACTGGATGTGTAAAGTGCTTTGGGGTCCTTAGGGACTACAGGCCAATTACCATTATCTAAGTTCTTTGCATGGTTACAGTTTACACAACCACATGAGAAGCATCATGTAGTTCCAGTAAACAGAACTTCTTTCTAGGTGGATCTGGTGTGGCCTTTAATTGACAAAAGCACAAGTCTATTTGTTTTTTTACATTTTTTATTAACATGTATTTAATAATTGTATCAGCACAGTCTTTCTATCTGTGGGACTGGCGTAGGATTTGGTCAGAAGATGGAAAGAAGAAGATTTCTTTAAATACTGAACAGAACCATAAACAGTGATGGACTCTGCATACTGTTTTCTTTATACACCCACAAAATCCTTGTGGGAAAAGTAGGAAATGCTAATAAGTAGACAGATAGTAAGAGAGTGCACCTAACTAAGCAGTCAACTGCAAAATCTCATAATGACTTCCAAAGTGCGAAAATAAATATCGCAGTCTGAATAAGACTATTTAAAGTTCAGTTTACACATGAAAATACCACGATAGCTTCAATTCGCATGCAGTAAAAAGCAGACGAGTGACACAAATGTTGCAGCTACAGATAAATCACAGGTTTCTTTGGAAACTGAAAAATATGTGGTGAGTGTTGTACTAGTGAGGCTGAATGGGTAGTTGGCATCCACCCACCATACACTCACATTCAGAGGCTGTATTCAAGAAACAGTGTTTTATGTAGATTCGTTTTTATTGAGTCTTAAATATATACCAGCCTGACCTTGTGTGAATCTCTGTTCTCCACCAGGAGGGTTTGAGGACACTTTGTGTTGCCTATCGCTCTCTGAGCCCAGAACAGTACGAGGAGGTTTTCCAACTGCTGAACAGAGCTAAGTTAGCATTACAAGACCGAGACAAACAGCTGGCAGAGGCTTACGACCTCATCGAGAAGGACCTGATACTGCTGGGAGCAACTGCTGTCGAGGACAGGTGCTGAATTTTTTTTGGTATTAAGGACACCTAAATGACAAATTATATCAACATCCTGCACTTTTTTTTTCATCAAAGGTTTTCCTGTACAGCTGGTAGCTTGGCAACATAACCACAATTTACATTGCATGCTGTTGTCATTTCAGTTATTTGTCCTTCTCAGTGCAAATTTTACGTGAAATGCCCTTTCAAAAATTACACTTATGCACCTTTTTTTCCTATAAATGTCTAAACCTCTTCAGCTCAAGTGACTCTTAACATTACAGTAATTCTGTGTCTGCTGCCATGGACAGTGCTGTCCTAGTTCTGAGTGAACCAAAGTGAGTGAGGGAAAGTGGCAGTTTAACCCTCCAATCGCACACGTGCCACTAAGGCAATTATAGTGCAGGCTTAAAACTACTTGTCAGCCCAGAGGGCGTTTCACCCATCCAGCACAGAGAGGAAATAATCCACGTGCTGGAGTACTGCACAGTTGAGCTGTTGTTGAATAAAAGGCAAAGAGAAATAAAACAAACCTATTTATTTAATGCAGCTAAAAACATGCCACCTCTTGTTTCTTGGCTGCGTACCAGGCTACAGGAAAAAGCAGCAGACACCATTGAGTCTCTGCACAAAGCTGGTATAAAGGTGTGGGTGCTGACAGGAGACAAGATGGAGACTGCAGCTGCAACGTGCTATGCCAGCAAGCTGTTTCATCGCAACACCCAAATCCTGGAGCTGACCACCAAACGCACTGAGGAGCAGAGCCTTCACGACGTCCTGTTTGAATTGAGCAGGACGGTCCTTAGGCAGCATGGGGGCATGACCCGGGACACCTTCTCTGAGTGGGTATTATGTTCACAGCATGCTTCAGACAGTGTCATCCTGCAGTTACTCGTATTTGACAGGTTTTGTGTTTTTTTCCCAGGCTATCAGGTGATTGCACCGACTATGGTCTGATCATTGACGGAGCTACCCTCTCTGCTGTAATGAGGCCCGGCCAGGAGGGCTCAAACTCAGGGAATTACAAAGAGAAATTCTTGGAAATCTGCCGGAACTGCAGTGCCGTGCTCTGCTGTCGAATGGCGCCACTTCAGAAAGCACAGGTACGAAGGCCATCTGTACTCTGAGTTTAACTGTGAAACAGATGTTCTCACTCATGTCATTAAGATTCAGATGGACGCTAAGCTGAAATCCACAACCTGCAGATTGTCAAGTTAATCAAAGCCTCGGAGGAGCACCCAATCACGCTGGCCATTGGAGACGGAGCTAATGATGTCAGCATGATCCTGGAGGCCCACGTTGGTATTGGTTAGTATTCTGTCTATTCCTATGCAACATGCCACACTCTGGTAAAGTTTGTTTCCTTCTTAATACAGTTTCAATTTGAAGAAACTAGAAATTCTTAAAAGCAGCCCCTTGTGTACAGAAGTCAGCAGTGTGTACAGCACCTGCATTCACACAAAATCCTTTTCCACACAAAAACTGTACTTTTGAATTTCCAAAACTACATTTATGCAGAAGTGTTAAAACTGTTAGAACCATACTATTATCATTGCAATAATACTTTGCCCTGTAAATGGTCACAACGCAGGCATTATGGGTAAGGAGGGTCGCCAGGCAGTGAGGAACAGCGACTACGCCATCCCGAAGTTCAAACACCTCAAGAAGATGCTGCTCGTCCACGGACACTATTACTACATACGCATCTCTGAACTTGTACAATATTTCTTCTACAAGGTAGTCGCCCTGAACATGTTTTGAGTTTACTTCTTTTTAAAACTTTATATAGTTTTTTAAATTTGTTTTAAGATGATTGTAATTGCGGAGTCTGTGGCTTTAGCCTAAGTGTGCAGGAATGCTTTGTGTGAGATTTAATTTATTAATTTGTTTAGTTCATTAATTTTCATATTTTTGATATTTATACTCTATAAAATTAGCGTTCAGCAACAAAAAGACCTGTACACATTTAAATTGTTGTTCTTTCTTTTCGCAGAATGTCTGTTTCATTTTCCCCCAGTTCCTCTACCAGTTCTTTTGTGGCTTCTCACAACAGGTGTGCACTCACAAAACCTAAATACCATAAAAACAACAAGAACAAAAATACTAACACGGCTCTCTTTCCCAAACCCCAGCCGCTGTATGACACGGCTTACCTGACTCTCTACAACATCAGCTTCACCTCGCTGCCCATTCTGCTCTACAGTCTCATCGAGCAGCACATAAATATGGACATCCTGAAGAAAGACCCTTGTCTCTACAGGTGGATTTCTGTTTAAGATTGTCATGTCAGAAATGTGTCGTTTAGTAAGACTGAAAATCGACCAGCTGGATCGACTCTAATATCACATGTTCTTCAGGAACTTGTTCTCATGACATGAAAATTAGAAAAAGAAATTATCTCCATGTTTCAGTAATCCAGTCTTCTGCAGCAGATAATGAACCATCTGTTTTATACAAAGCAGACTGCGTGGTAGTTGGATTCTTCCGGAGATGTACTGTAACAAGAACAGTGTTGAGTTAAAGTCGTCTAAGCAACAGAAAATATAAATATTTCAATAATTCTTTAGACACTTTATACACGGCCTCCAGGTGCAAAGTAATAGCAGATGATTTGGTGTTTTACTCTGATTAATTTATATTTACATTACAGTTTATTTTACATCCATCATATGGCAGATAACCGCCTTCTTGGATTTGGTTTTGCATGTGTTCAGAGTTTGAAAAGCTACGTTTTTAGCTTTACTCTTAAGTTGTATTCTTCCAAAAAAGAATCAACCTTTCCCACAAACAATGACGCTGTCTGTATCGATGTATGTATTATACTATTAGAGACTCATTGGCTGTGAGGCAGGCAGTGTACTGTGATATTAATCTATAAACATGTGATCTCTGTTCTGTATATCTACACAGAGATATTGCTAAGAACTCTTTGCTGCGGTGGCCCACCTTCATATACTGGACAGTCTTGGGCGTTTATGATGCCATTGTGATGTTCTTTGGTGCTTACTTCCTGTTTGACAACACCACCTTCACCAGCAATGGACAGGTAATAACCATGTGGCTTTGACAGGCTCTTTAATTGAAACAAGGAGAAAAAGGCCTGGAAAATATTTAAAGTAAAGTTCAAAGTAAAGGAAAAATAGTAACTGCCTATTTTATCTATAGGCTACTTCAGTTTTCCACAAGCTCCATCTGTTTTCTGTTTGTCATCTGACTTTTTAGTCTTCTTGTGGTGTTTGGGGTTAGTTAGGGAACATAGTGACAGTGTTTTAGGTCTCAGCTTGTTCCTCAACCACATTTTGCTCTGTAAGCAAAATGGATTTACTTTTAAATATACTGGCTGTACTGTGCTTTGCTGACAGGTTTTAATGGCCTGGCTAATGCCTGACACGTAGCTTATTGTATTGCTTGCAGAAACTGATCAAGTTGTAGCACAAACTAACATTAACCCTGTAGTGTAAATGGATCTGGTATTATAAATGTGTTTTCCTGACACTGCACATTATTGTGTTTGAAAAAGTAACTATCTGGTAGTTACATGTAGTTATGAGATAATTATGGTCAAGTAATTTCTCATAATAATGACCTTGTACTGGATGGTTATTTATGTCACTTGAAAATGCAGGTTGTTGGCTGATAAAGTTTGAAGACTATTTTGCCTTTTAGTAAATAATATTTAATGTCAGTTGGATAATTATATATATATATAGATGTTTAAGTAAAATCTGATGACGTGTGGTTTATATCTAAGGCCTTATTTAGACTTCTGCGGGAAATCTTTTTAGAGCCCATAACAATGGGCTCTAACCTACATAAGTGGCCGATGCTATTGGCAGGATTCACACTCGTGCTGGTGCATTATGTGGTAATTATCATGTGATCGTGTCCCAGATAAAATACTGGGATTTTTTTCCTTCCCACCGAGGTCCACGCCAGGTTACGCCATAGGCTTTAGCGGGGTTTGCGGTTACGCTGCAGGTAACAGCATAGATTTCCCGCTGAAGCATAAATCTCTAGTAAGACACGACAGCATGGCGGGGTTCCCATCATCTTCCTCTCTGTTCTCTATTTGGTTTGTTTAATTTCTCAAGCTGCATTACTCTCCCAGAAACATGTTGAACTGTTTTTGAGTTGCTTGATTTCACTTGGGTTTTCTTCTTCTTTTTTTTGCATCCAATTCTTTTCAATTTTTTTCCTTTCAGCCATAAAACAGTTTATGTTATTATGATTTTCTTCTGGTCACATGCTCTTCTTCTTCCTATCCTCTTACCTTTGTGTTGCTTTTTCTTTTTGCTTCTCTTTCCTCCTCCCAGCTAATGACAACCAACACACAGATGGTAAGCCTGTCGCTGTCTCTCTGTCGTCTCTCCTTAGTTTCACTTCCCTGTTTCGCCACCGTCACACAGCCTGATACAAACTGCTGTTCATCTCATGTCCGGCCCTCAGTGCTTGCTGTAGATACGTCAGCTGTAGGCTTTTCTGTAGTGACTCTCTGTTTCCCAGACCCATGCTCATGTGTCCAGCTGTCAGTGACCAAACACCTTAGTTATACATCCTGTGTGCTTTGTTTGTGGCAGATGTTAGGCATAAGTGCTCCTGCTTCCATTATGTAACAGTTAGAGATCATTGCCTAAAGCATTACAACTTTTTATAGGATTACTTATAAACACATAAACAGGAAGCAAATCTGAAGCTTTTGAAATGTTAGAAAAAGAAAAGGTGAAAGAAAAACATTGAAATGCATCTGATCAATGATAAAAATCATTTTTCTGCCTCATGCGAGTGTTTCTGTAGCGCTACAATTTATGTTGTAATGTATCTGATAGTAGCTTGTACTATACTTGTACTAACAATGTAAAAATCAGAGCTGCATTTGGAAGCTGCCTCTGAAAAGCTTTTATTTTATCATTTCATGCTCATCATTTTTATTTTTTAACTTTATTTATCACGGTTCACCCAAGGTGCCTGTTTTTAGCAGAAGTATAGTGTAGCCCAAGCAGTTAGATGACCTTCAGTGTACCCATACTTTAAATTTTATGATACTAGTTCATTTTTGGTTTTGGGCTTCATCTTATTGCCACAGGCCTGTGAAAAAAGAAAATCATGCAACGGTCACTTCTCAGTTATGGTGTACTAGAATCACTATGTTCCCCATGTACCTCTTAATATAACACCTCCGAATAATTACAATAAAGGGAAAATATGCCAGTTTTAGTGCTGCACAAAATGCTGAAGGAGCTCATTGTGTAAGTTGTAGTGAAGAAGCTGCCCTGCATCGTGGTGGTCTTAAATGTGCACGATGACTTTTTTAGTGTTCATGTAAAAGGGTTTCACTCACAGAAGAGACTGATAGGAATATTCAGCTATACAATCACATCATCCTCCTGTTTTCCATCCATCAGTCATCTGATAACCAGCTCCTCACCTGAATGTTGCTACCTGAGCACACTGCCATCTGTTTGATTGATTGATTCCTTACTTGAATATGTCAACTTTTACCTCGTAGCCTAGTCATGTCATCCGAAAAGCATGTTAACGCAGGTGTGCTGAGCATTTAAGTACTGAATAAGCACAAGTCAAATTATTTACTTTAACAGGTGCTTAGAATCTGTTCACATCAAACATACAATAAAATAAATAAAACAAAAAAACAAGAAGTTGAAAGTGTTTCATGCACAAATCTCCTGATCAATAACAGCAGCTGCTTTTTTACCTTCTGCAGATGTTTGGAAACTGGACATTTGGGACACTCGTCTTCACTGTGCTAGTCTTCACTGTTACATTCAAGGTAACCACACAGACACATCAGAACATCACAGAAACACCCAGGCAAGTCTGGTTCCAGTCTCACTTCCATCGTCTCTGTGTCGTAGCTGGCCCTAGATACTCATTACTGGACTTGGATCAATCATTTCGTTATCTGGGGCTCACTGATCTTCTTTGTGGTATTCTCCCTGCTGTGGGGTGGAATCATCTGGTATGATTAAAGAAATATTTTTGTATTTAAATGTTTACTTGATGTAAAACTGTGTCAGTCAGAGTGACGTTTTATTAGATGTTTTATTGCATTTGTTTTCATGCAGTCGTTTCCTCTCTTACAGGCCATTCCTCAACTACCAGAGAATGTACTATGTGTTCATGCAGATGTTGTCCAGTGGCCCAGCCTGGCTCAGTATAATCCTTTTGATAACAGCCAGTCTGTTGCCAGATGTGGTGAAGAAGGTCATATGGAGGACACTGTGGCCCACCACTACTGAGCGCATACAGGTGGGCACAAATGCTTGCAGAAATAGAGAGTAGTTGCATAAATAAAAAAAACAATTTTTTTTTAAAGTATTATGGATATTTTGGAATAATTGCAGTAATGCAAGAAGACTGATGACCACACATCCCGTAAATATTTTGCTTCCTGCCAAAGTAGGACGTGTTCGTTAACCATTACTTCATTTGTTCTTCAATAAAGGTCGCTGCTTCTTTTCTACATGAATATTAATAATGAAAAATGCAAGAAAGCTCAGTTTACACAGGTCAAACAGCGCCCCCTGCCTTTTGCAAGGCAGAAATCAATTTTGTGTATTTACCTAAAAGCTACCTGCGTTTACTGTTTATTATTCACTGGGATGTTTCAGTTCCTGACATGTCGAACTGACAATTGTGGGTCAGCAGAGGTATGCAGGGTGTGGCTACATCCCTGCTTTGGTAGTTAAGCCTCTGTGTCTGTGTGCAGCGCTCCTTTAATTTTTAAGAGGAATGCGCACAATAGTGTGTATTTTTTTTAGCGGTTAACACTCAGAGTTCTGTGTTTTATTAATGGAGAATAAGAACAGTGTCCTCTGCTGAACCAGGAGTGCCTCTAAAGGCATTAATTGTTAATGGGTTGCAGTGTGGAAATGTGCATTAGAGTTTCATAAACAGTGTATAAAAGAAGGAAAATTGCAATCGAAACTTTATTTCAGAGCAGTTTTGAAAATGAACATTAAATAATGCTGCACAGTAAGAAGAAAGAAGGAAAGATGGGATAAAAAAAAAACATCCTGCTTATGTAAAAAAGAGAATAAACTCAAAGCTATGGACTGATTTCAACTCTGAGGCGCTGAAAGAGCAGCGTTAACAGCAGTTATTTATCTGATGCATACTGATTCATCAGGACTGAAAGATTGGACCAGAAAAACACGATTAGGTGTATAAACACTGACATGTGGCTCAGAAATAATGAATGGCAGAAGGCATTCATTAGCAGCAAAATACTGAAATATTCAGTATTCCACTGAAAGTTGACAGAAGAAATTATGTCCATAAAAAAAACAAGACGATATAATGATACATAATATATGAAGCACTGGGATCCAGTTACAGTGGAGTTACTGAAAAACACAACACAAATGTTTTTGTATGAGTAGGTGCATTGCATGGATAGCACTAGATGAGTGATGTCAGCCTTTCTGGGAAGGCTGCAGTGCAGTCTGCTTCACTTCCTTTTCCTACAGATACTAATTATTTCTCCCTCTACATCCCAAACTCATTTTCCTATAACCTCCCTGATAACTGTGGTTGTGGAGAGCTAATAACCATCACCAAAGACTTTCCAGTATGATCCAGTCTCTCCTGAGAAGCCTAAGAAGAATGTTTACATGCTGCTGTCTATCTCATAAACTGATCATGTGGCATTTTGGAAGATCTGACATGTTTCTTTCCCAGCTGTAACTCTTCCCTGCCTTTGTTCACCCCTCCTGATCTCTTGCTTCCTCCTCCTTCTCCCTCTGTGGTTCTCCTCCCTGGCAGACTAAGCGTCGGTGCCTTGCCTCCGAGCCTTCCACCATCTTTATGCTGTCTCAGACCTCCAGCAGAATCAGTTTCTAACCCAGCCCTTCTGTAGGTGACCCTCAGCCTTTCCTACTGTCTCGTCTTTCTCTTTATTTTCCTTTCAGTCTGTATCCTGTTACTTTGTCATTTCCACTGTTTTGCATGAAGTTACAGTCTTATCTGACTGCATGCCTTTGCATCTACATCTTGATTCAGTGTGGCCTTAATCACCTTTTGTTTTAGAAACCACTCTTACTTTGATGCTTCAATTTTGAGTCCGTATGGTAGATGTGTTTGTCTTCAAATGTGTGTGTGTGTGTGTGTGTATATTTGCAGCAAGGGAGAGATAATAAAAGGTATGAGAGGGCCCTGGCCTACATGAGCTCTGATTCCTTGTTGATGGAGTAGCTGTCACAGAAGCCTACAGGGCTTCAGCACGGTAAAATGCACACGTTGCTGCTGTGTGATGGTGGGTTAACTGGTGTGGTTTGACTTTGGGTTGTTGTATTTGACTAACACAAGGGTTGGGGTGTGTGCTTTATTTGTATGAAGGTCCTAAAAGCTCAACCATTTTCTTCAGGTATTTCAACTGACTTTACTTCCAGCTGGGTGATTTCTCACATGGAGCTTTAGCACCATCTAGTGGTATAATGTGTTGCTACAGAGACAGAAAAGTAATATTTGCAGAGGAAATGAACGCATGTTTAGCTTTTTGTTGACATTTGCATGTTTTTGGTGTTTATGATTTATTATTTTTTTGTTGCTCTTAACATGCTTGCTTTTAAACCTGAACAGAATGGATGGAAAATTTAACCTCACAGCTGGCAAATTAAACTAAAGGAAATGAAATACTTTATTCATTTAAAAACAACTGAAGCTTGAGGATGTAGCATTGTGCCCAGGATCAGGTGCCTGCAGTATGCAGATGTATTCATATTTGTTAGTGTTAGGTAATAAATATATAATCTTAAATGCTTATATGCTGATTATATTGGTTTATATAAGAGAGGCCCAGACTTAGTTATAATGAGCATTAATAAGTTGCTCTAACAGCACATAATGCTCATTGCTCTCATTAAGCCTTGGGGGCATTGATGGGGTTGATGGCTATCAGGTGAAGAGTCCTGGTTTACAGGCAGTTTTGTAGTTCAGGACCTCACAGAGGCATTGTTACAGGATGGAGACTTGACTCCACCAAGTCACATGCTATCTGTTCAAACTATGGCCAGCTGCGACGTGTTACCACCTTCTTCTTTTGCATTACTCCACAAGTGCCATGTTTTATTCTTTACTTTCTCTGAACTTTCTCTTCCTCCTTGTCCCCTATTCCTCCCTTTGTACCCTCATACAGAATGCAGATAAACTCTACAAGGGCCAGCTGTCTGAGTTCACCCCCTTGGCTTCCCTCCACGCTCCGTCTAAGGGTAGCAGCCACCGGCGAGGCTCGGAAAACCAAAGGAACCCTCGAAGGTCTGAACCCTTTACCAAGAAAGTCATGTTCACACGCTGGCAAAAAGCGCCAGACTACTGCACCTTCACCCCCCTCCTCCGGTTTGCTGATAGCTCCCGCCATTCAAGGCAGGGGTACAATTACAGCGGGGCCGGGCCTGAGACCTCAGTCTAATTTATTTCTTTTTCTCCGGGGTATTTTTTTTAAATCTTATATTCTAATATCAGAAACAATGTCATCCACATGGAGTTACTCAGATAAATTGGTGGAAAGCAATTTTGGAGCTTACTTACTTGCTTCGACGTTACTGAGTTGGAGTAAAATAATAAACAGTTGAGGAGACTGCAATGCTAAGTGACCTTCATAATTTCTGTCAAGTTAGCAGCCAAGTGTGGCGCAAAGCACTGCTGGACGGCTCTGGAGTGGACCCCGTCGGCAGGGCCTGGTTCGCTGCCACAACGTGCAAAGGGCTCAGTGTAATGATGTCACAGCAAACAAACTGACTCGAGCTTGTGTTTCACATGAAAAATATGTGCACTGGCCCTTTACGCCTGCCTGCCTTTGATGGTAGCTGAAGTGTACTTTACTCTGATTATTAGGGTGTTTTAATGGCTATTGTGATAATCATGCTGATGTTCTATGACCGGAATGATGATAATGAGGACGACTGTAGACGTGCTCGAGCTAGCTTAAGCTTTCTGTGATCAAACATTTTCTTGTCTTCAGTCGCTGCCATCTGTCTTTATTCCCTTCTGTCTGTTTTGCCTCTTTTTAGGACTAACTGGTGTTGCCTGTGTGCAAACATGTTATCCAGAAACACTGCTTAGGACTCTGGGATCAGAAACTGCATCATTGTAAGGAGGGTTGTAGTAGAAGGAAGAATAAATGTTGAAAAATTAGTCTATGGAGCCCGGAAGTAGCCGTATAGGGGAATTAAATTATTTTATATCGGGATGAGATACAATTTTTGCTTAATTTCTGATTCATTTGTGCAAACGATACAGCAAGCTGATTTTCCTAACTTTGATTAGATGGCAAACGGTGGTCAAGTCAGTTAATAATGACAGAAAAGCGTAGCTCATGGTGCTTTCTGTGTCACAATATGTCTGGTTTAAAAACATGTGGGAGCTTTGAAAGCTCTTAAACTAGCTCACCCTTAGCGACAAAACACAGAAAAGCCTCTTGGCTGTCATAAACATGAAGCAATAATTTAGAGCAAAATGATCTTGAAATAGAAAAAGAAAAACAGAGGTTCATTTATTTAAATAATTTGTTATTAAGAAATATATGCTGGTGACAATTTAACAGTTTACTTAAATAACAAAAATACATGGAAAATTTACATGTAATCTGATTACTTAAAGTCAGTATTTTGAGCATGATTATGTTTTTTAAATGTAAGCTGAAATGCAACAAGTGCAAATATTGTAGGCAAATTACAATTTTTCACATTTTTTTTATCCTGTTTCCATGGTAATTTGTTACTTTGATAGTAAAATTGAAACACTTGATTAAATGTGTGTGTGTATGTGTATATATATATATATATATATATATATATATATATATATATATATATATATATATATATATATATATATATATATATAATAGTTACATTTTGTTTTATAAAGTGAACAAAAGCAGTGTTTACGTCGATACTAAAGCCAACATGTATGCATTGAGATCATCATCATACTGTACAGCACATAGGGTGTAAATACAGAGAATGCAAACGGCACAAATAGACCAAAACATGGGAATGCGTCATATTGCACGTACGTATCTCATTGGCTACTCCTGGGCTCCAATAGCAGAGTCAGTAGGAGTTGGTCTTTGTGAACATGTCATACAGCCAACATTTAAACTTTCAGAGTCACATTTAGGTAGCTTAGAGCTTTGGTGTGTTAGAAGTTTGCGTGCGTATCTGTGTGTGCTGATAGAAGACTGTGTGTGTATCTGTTAATCTCCATCTGTCCTATCATCTTGAACATAGATTGTAAACTTACCTTATCTTTGGATGACTAAATGTCTTGTAGTAGAACACAGAGGAACTGCTTGTGTGACCGCTACCTGGCTGTTTCTTATTGCCTTAATGTCGTCTTGTAAACTCTGCTGTATTTTTCACTGATATCATTTACCAAAGAAACAGCAGGTAACGCTTTATGATCACCTTTAGATAATAGCTGGTTGCTTGTATTTACTTTGATTGAAGCACTTTAAAATTATATATATTTCTCCTTTTAATATAATTCACTCAAAGTGCCCCAAATGGTTTGATGCCTTAAATAAATATCAAATCATTGATAATGTATTAAATTATGAAACAAACAGCCGGCACAACCAATTCAAAGAAAAAAAAGGAATCGAGATAGAAACACTTTTTTTTTATTGGCCGTGAGACGACCTTTAACTGACCAGTAACACAGCAAAGTGTCCTCTCATATTCTGTGTACAGTAGAAAATGGAAGAATAAGTATATATGGGGTTCTTAAGTGTAAAAAAAAAAATTGCATGTACAAAAAATGTGAAAAAAATCTATTTTAATAATGTGACAGAGAAGCGAGCGTCTTAATATCCTTTCATACTCATTTTCCACCTCATCTCAATAGAATAAGATGCTTTTTAGCTCTGCAGATCAGGTTGATTGTAGCATCTAACAGTTTAGTGCTCCCGCCCTTAAAAGCCTTATAACGGTGTTAGAGAAATCTAATGAGATTCTCCAGCTTAAAAAAAAGGGCCTTTACAGTGCGCTCTTTGAATTCTGTCTCACACTTTCCTGTTTCAACTCGTACCCTCTGTCTCTGTCTCTCTCTCTCTCTCTCTCTCTCTCCCTCACACCCTCCCTCTCTTGAAGCGATGTTGAAGCTGTTCCTACCTCTGTGACAGTTGTCTCCATCTGCCTCATCATCATCATTTCATCCATCCCCTTCTGCGTCTTCTCTGTCGTTCCTCCGTTCATACATCGACTCATCCATCGTGAGACAGTAGATCTGATGTTTTTAGTTCTATGAACCAAAGCCTTGTTGCTGCTAGAGATTCTTTAGCTGCTTTACATTAGGTGCCTTGTGCTAGTTTTCACAGCCTGTCTTTGCTTTGCTTTGTGGTCAATTTGATACTGTTAATAGGCGCTTCAATGGTACAAGGGCACAGCAGATGATGGATGTAACTGGAGGAATGAAATAACTACTGTAGGTGAAAAGGCGAATGTGAAATCGAGTTTTTATGCAGACTTCTGCTGAACAAGCAGAACTGACACACAGTCAATGAACAAATACCACTTATGTTTAGTATCTGTTTTTTTTATAGCTTGTATTAAATTTTTTTTAAATAAATGCCCATGAGGGCATTTGTCTCTGAAATGTTATTTTTTAATTGTTTTTGATTATGTACAATGTGGAAAATTCTCCCTTTTATGACCACAGACTTGAAGAGCTCCAGCTCTGCTTTTTCAAATCAGCTACAGGTGATCAATGGTAGTTTTTCTTTTCTTTTGTTTTTTTCCATCTCCAAGTTTCGGAGATTTAAAGTTGATGGTAAAGCAAAAGGGTTTCTTGTACTGTTGGAATTGTCTAAAATGAAGGGTTGGTTTGGCCAAATTCCAAAAAAAAAAAAAAGGTATTTTCTGTTGCTGCTTTACGCACCAAAAAAAGAAGAACATTCCAGATTGATCTGCTTAGTAGAGCAGATTTCGATATTTATCGAATGATATTAGCTATTTTCCGATGTATTGGCATCAGTATTTGTAACAGCCAATAAGACAACCTTCAGTTATGCTATGAGGACAGTGCATAGTTTGTCCATCAGAGGGCACTGTGCAACATCCCTTTTGGCAACAAACAAACATAATAAACAGGTAATCTGAGCCTAAATAAGCAAACTGATAACTACACGTGACAAATATTAGGGGAATGTGTTTTTGTACTTGAAATGGAGAAAAAAATCAGCACATATATCAGAAAATTGGATTTTTAAATCACCATATATCAGTTAAAAAAAATCATATATCCGTCGGGCTCTACGACTTAGAACAATTGAAGTAAGTTAGAAAATACTGGATTTTTGTTGTTGTTGTTTTTATTATCTGAATGAAGAAAACAAAGATCCTGTCTCTCCATTTATTGTTTGCCCTGAATTCTGATTGGCCTTTGGACTAGAAAGATGTTTTTCATTGTAAACAATGTACCAAGGCTTCAGTACCTTAACTGCTAAAGAATCACACAAATAACACAACAATTGTTAATGAAATGGGAGGGGGGAAAAACAAAAGTCTACAATATAATGCCATGTGAGAGCTGACAGACACTATGACCACAGGACTAAACTAGCTGGGAGAAGCAATAAGTATAATCAAACTGAAGCTGCTTGTAAATGTCTCTCTGCAACAAATGTGACCTCTTAGCACTAGCTAAGCGACAGAGAGTCACTTATATTCAAATGTCAACCATGACAGTGAAGAATCCATTATCCTGTCTGAGATCTCAGATCAGTACTTACACAGTGGTAACTAAGCATGGTCCTTGGAGGCATCTGGAAGTCTCAATAACTTACAAAAATGAAAAGTTACTGCACTGCTATTTTGGGGGAGGGGTATCTGAGAAACCCCTCTTTTTTTGTTTTACTTTTCAGAGACAGTATTTAATGTGTGTCTTCTTTATATCTCAGAATATTCCAACAAACAAACTGGATTGTGGCAAAAAAAGTGGACACTTGTATGTCTGTATGCATAGCTTTAAACAAAAGGACAAAGAGATTTGTGGTGTTAGTTGTTTCACGGAGGTACCCCTGCACTGAACCGTCATTCCTGAGGACCGACACCTCGCTGTAGAAACTTTGAAAGCCATCAACAGACCTTCTGTACCAGTCCACACTGAATCTTTGAACTGACGGCCTTTCAACTCAAATGTTATCTTTTTTTGGAAAATGTGTTATTGTATAGCGAGCTGCACTTCACATAACCGGCAGTATCTACGAACTGAGATACAGTACTGTATATACATGTATGAACAATATTTAAATGTAGTTATGTTACTGAATGTACAGTTTTTTGGGCTCTTTTTGTATACAGTTTTTAAACGGTCATATCTTGTGGATTTTTGCCAACCTTTCTGTGGCTGTAAATGGCGAACATCTGTACATTTGCTTGGAAATAAAAGCGAAAATGTGTTACAAAATTCTTCTTATGAAAAAAGCTGCACTACACGCTTCAGCCAGGAGGGTGCAGCCGAGTGCTTCTGATGTGCTTTTGATGTGTTGCTAAAGGCTGAAGGAGCTGACAAGTCAACATATGTGAAGCTGATGAAATTAATCAAAAGTTTCTTTAGTAGAGAGATCGTGTGTGTGTCTGTGTGTGTGTGTGCGCGCAACCCACCTGTGTGCACGCCAGTGTTGTCTCAAGCTCAAATACTGGCTGTGTTTAAAAACAACACAGGAAATGGTTAAAAAAGTCATTTTTAAAAATTTATTTTTGTTTTGGATTTAATATGTTCCCCAAAGTTGCTCCAGGGCTCCTGTCTGCACCATCTGAGGACGTCAACAAGATTAGGATGGAGGTTTATGGATCGATTGGTTTCCCTTCATCCTTTTCACTTCTCATCTGCGCTGATCTCCACGTCCTCTCCTCCACAGCTGGCAGCCGATGAGACCTGCAAGTGTGTCTGACAGGGATAGAGAAATATCTAGGGCAAGACTGTCAGAGGTGAAATCTGGGGGAGAAGAAGGGGGAGGGGGGGGGGGTTGCACAGAAAAAGAAAAGTAGATATGAAATGCTGCATCGCGTTTATATTGTATAAGGTTGTTTTTTTTTTAAATAATGTTTTTTATCACGAGTTAAAGTGCAGTGACTCATGCAGTCACCTTTCAGATGGAAAAACCAAAAGTCTTCTGAAAAACTTCAACCATGAATACGCAGTGTGAAGACCTTTTTAAACGAATCTTTACGGTGTCTTACTTAGTAGAGACTCCAAAATTATATAGAATGGTGGGCGGTGTAATTTAAGGTGTAACAGAGTCCTTTACAACCTCCTCATCACCTGTTTCCTTCTCGCGCTGCTTGAGGTTGGATTGCTCGGAGCACTTTGGTGTGTGCTTGCGAAGGTTTCGTGACAAAGACGGGAGATGAATTCACACCCCCAAGTAATGAAACGGTGGAGACAAAAATGGGACTGGCAGAGGAAAAATCTGGATGTGGCTCCCAATCGGAGACGGCGTATCTGTCACATATATAAGGGCCACACTTATCTCCCCGAAGCTGCAACTCTGGAAGCAACAGGTGACTGTTTTAAAAATACAAGCTTTCAATAGGCGCTAATCCTGTAAGTCCTCTTTTTGAAATAAGTGTTGAAGTTTGACATGTTTTTTTTTTTTTGTTGGGAAAAGCACTTTAGCCCAGAGTTAAAACTAGACTGCTAACTCAACTGAGCACAAAGAGGTGGAAATAGGCGGAAATGGCAAGCGGTCCAAGGGTAACAAAATCCACCTACTAGTGCCCCTAATGCTCATTATTCAGCAAGTTGTATCTCATTTGCTTAATCCTCACAAAAGCCTCCATGTGGAACCGCTTCCCCCACCCAAACAGGAGACTCTGGGATGTTCATGGTCCCCAGTCAGGAAACACTTCAACCTCCAGTAAAATTTGGATTCGTCTTTGTTTTCCACTTTGGTTTTTGTACGGATTAAGCAAATGAGATATAGCATGTTAATTAGTGAACTTTACAGGTGCTGGTAAGCTTTTGTTTTTTTTTTAACCTGTCTTGGTGTCAAGTTAAAGTAACCAACAGACATTTTTTTTCATTGAGATGAAAGTGAATGTGTGTGTGTGTGTTTGTGTCTGTGTGTTTTCTCATCCTATTTATCTGTGGATGGAGGGCTCTTTTTCTCTTTCGGCTGTGATGGCCCTCTTTTACAGTCCCAGTGCCACTACACACTGCCACATTCTCCTCTCCACCCTTAGATGGGTTAAATGTCTCGGGCTCTTCACACGGACAGTTTTAACTCAACTAGTTGCTCCCAACAGATGGCACAGAAAGGCTTCACTTCTACACACACCCAGGATGTCTCAGGACTCAAACACACATGCAATGTTTTTTGGGGGGGAAGCACAACCTGTTCTCTCTATAGAGGCCCTTTTAAATATTAAAGTAGACTTACTGTGATGATTTTAGTCTTTGTATTTAATTAGATTTGTATTATTCAGAGTTGTATTTAGGTTATACGTGACCTTACTGCAGCCTCTCTCTTCTCTCTCTTTTAGACCACCCTACTTTCATCTCATTGGCTGCTCCTCACAAAAAGAAGGTTTGAACAACAGGTGGGAGGGGCTCCTGTGTCTTTCTTTCCCTCACAGTGATCACTTGCACACAAGCCGAACTCGTTGTTTGAAACTTTGGCCATGTTTAATGCGAGGATTCGCCATTATAACAGTAACAGAAAATAATGCAGGAAGTGATTGTGTGTCCATTTGCATGGATTTTATTGGCTGACCTGTTGCCAGCCAGCTTTTAGCTAGGTAAAACTGGCAAGTGCAGTAACGGGGAACAAGCGTGTTTTGCTGCACCCTGCAGTTCATACACTCAAGCTAGCCTTAAATTATTAGTATAGACCTTCCACCTCCACCTCCACCTTCCCACACACACACACACACACACACACACACCCTGAGTTTGATCTCATGGTTATAATGTCAGCATGTATCTATTCACAGCATTAAATGGAGGGAGGTGATGCAGCCATCCACACGTGAAATCTACGAATTAGCTGTGAAATTGCTGTTATTTGCCACTGATTGTTTATGACTCGGTACACAGGGTTTTTTCTTTTCTTTTCTGGCCTTCTCTTTTATCCGCACAAAGGGTTTTCTTATCATTATTATGGTTTTCAAAAGGAGATGTTTTCAGGATGGATGCACACACTCATAAATGGGAGGAACACCAAGGAAGGTTTTAACATTTTACCTATATGTTGTGCTTCAGATTTAGCTTATTCTTTCTCCATCTTATCGCCATCTCTAATGTTTTCAATCACCTTCTGCCTGTGCATCTTGTCTAAACGAGGTAAATTGTGCAGAAAGCCCCCCCCCCCCCCCCCCCCCCCTCCATCTGTCCTCTCATCTCATCACGTCTTTGTCACTCTTGTCAATGTCCTGACACGCAATACAATGAAATACAATAGAATACAATCTAAGCTGTAAAGACTTCTAGTTAGCTGAAGGCTGAGGGGGCTGTAAGCTTCATTTAAAGTGCACGCAACCAATTTATGTATGCACACACATGTTTCTCCCAAGGTTACTGCTAAATTCTGTGTCTCACATCTGAACTGCAAATGATTTCATAGCCTATATTTTATGAGACCTGCTATAACAAAGGCATGCAGTTTAAAGCAGTGATTAATGATTGTCTGGAAATAAAACACACACACACACTTGGGTTAATATATATTATGAATTGTACATATCAGGAGTGCCAAACAAAAGGCCCGGGTGCCTGAATTGGCCCAGCAAGGACTCCAATCCGGCCCACTGAATTGTTTCATAAAATGTGAAGGAGGGGTTGATTTGTGGACTTTTAACTGTATGTTCATAAGTTTTATAGCATTTCCTGCTGATAAAGACCTTCCCCATTCCCGTTCATAAACACAAATGTTATTATGTAAAATATAAACAATTAAACGACAGAAACGTTTTTTTCACTATCTGCTATAGAAATATCAGTTTTGTACAGTGGGTGCAAAGTAAGAAAAATAGAGTATTTTATTTGTCTAAAAAGACAAAAACCTAAGGAGATAGTGTGGAGGCATGGTACAGACGACACAGGAGCTGTAACTTTCCATTCCGACTTTATTCATCTCCAAACTACAACTGGGCCATTTATATGGATACACCGTAATAAAATGGGAATGGTTGGTGATATTAAAGTCCTGTTTGTGGCACATTAGTATATGTGAGGGGGCAAACTCCTCAAGATGGGTGGTCATTTAGAAGTCGGCCATCTTGGATACAACTTTTTTCAATAGGAAGAGGGCCATGTGACACATCAAACTTATTGGTAATGTCACAAGAAAAACAATGGTGTGCTTGGTTTCAACGTAACTTTATTCTTTCATGAGTTATTACAAGTTTCTGACACTTATAAATGTGTTCAATGTGCTGCCCATTGTGTTGGATTGTCAATGCAACCCTCTTCTCCCACTCTTCACACACTAATAGCAACACCGCAGGAGAAATGCCAGCACAGGCATCCAGTATTTGTAGTTTCTCGTATCTCGCACATCTCGTATCTTCACACCATAGACAATTGCCTTCAGATGACCCCAAAGATAAAAGACTAAGGGGGGCAGATCGGGAGACCTTGGGGCCATTCAACTGGCCCACGATGACCAATCCACTTTCCAGGAAACTGTTCATCTAGGAATGCTCGGACCTGGCACCCATAATGTGGTGGTGCACCATATTGCTGGAAAAACTCAGGGAACGTGCCAGCTTTAGTGCATAAAGAGGCAATCACATCATCATGTAGCAATTTCAAATATCCAGTGGCCTTGAGGTCTCCATTGATGAAGAATGGACCCACTATCGTTGTAGCCCATATACCACACCAAACCATCACGTTTGTTGTTCCAACAGTCTTGGAGGGATCCATCCAATGTGGGTTAGTGTCAGACCAATAGCGGTGGTTTTGTTTGTTAACTTCACCATTCACATAAAAGTTTGCCTCATCACTGAACAAAATCTTCTGCGTGAACTGAGGAGAACCGTCCACTAGTCCAAAGCACGGGGCTTAAGCAAACGGCCAGAATGGCTGAACCGGGGAGGTGAGAACTGGCTGTGGGCCCACTAGCTCAGGCCGAACCTGCCATAGGTTCCATGATGATGATCACCATCCAACAGTCCGGCTGTAGATGGGCGGCCGCAGTGAGGGGCCTGGGCCCGCACCAATGGATCATCCTGCAGATGTTTAAGCCGGTCAACTGAAACTACCTTCTGCCAACCCCCGAAGTCCAAAACGAAGTGCTTGTGGCTTGGCTTAATAACTCTATATGGGCCATCATCAGAAATGGGCAGTAACGCGTTACTGTAATCCGATTACTTTTTTCAAGTAACGAGTAAAGTAAGGGATTACTATTGCAAAAAAGGTAATTTGATTACTGTTACTTTCCCGTAAGTACGCTGCGTTACTGC